CACTGCTGAGGCTCGTGCATCTCCCTGGAAAACACGTGAAGAACTTTTCCTCAAATTTGCTGCAAATTACAAAGCTGGCATGGTAAGCAGAATACCTTTGAAATTGAATTAATGTCAGATCCAACCATTGAATCTGCACAATTGGGCAATCTTGAAGGAAAGTAATGAGGTTGGGGGAATGGTTGAGGAGGGGGACAGATGTATTTCAGGGATGTTATCATCAAAATTCTTATGACAAATTCCACTTGGGTTGTTTAAGTAAGAATGTCGGAAAGAATCAGCGGAGATTTGGAAGCAGCACACGAATAGATTTCTGATTTGATGGATAAACAAATTCCATTTGGGTTGTCAAAATAGGTGTTGCTGTTGCTTGCAACAGGTCGCCTCAGGATTTCTGTCACAAGGATGACCCAACCAAATGTAAACTGCAGCTTCAGAGTTTAGAACATGTACTTTCAGAATTACTTAGGAAAAATATTCATTTCATCACCAATTTTATTTTTAAGAAAGATGAACAATGTTTTTTAAGTATCTCAACTTAAATTGCTGGTTTACTGAATGCATAGATTTCTTGATGCTCAAACTCATCAAAGATCAAGTATCCCTATTTAAGTTTTCTGCGTCTAATTTAGGGGAACTCTGTTGTGTTGTCATGGCATTGCAGTAGGGTTAACAAATTGTGTTGTTTTCATGCTTGCCAAATCAGAGAAATTTCACTGCATGCATTTTCCCACCATTAAGTTTCATGGAAATACAAGGTGCTTCTTGAATGACTAAAAATTGACTCAGTATGAGATATATTTTGATAGACTCTTTACTGTTGTTTTTAAGTGTTTTTCTATCAGTTATCTCAAAATTCATTTTATTGTGTTATAAGGAAAAGCTTACCTATTTTGTAATGTAGCATCCAGTCACTATGTTTTGATTGTTAGTGAAGTGGACAATTTTTATTTCAGAGGAGAATGTGCATCATTAGATAAAAAGAGAGCTGCTTTCTAGCAAAGTGGTGATGGCAACTTAGAAGCTATAGAAGATGAGTGCTCTGTTGTGGAGGAACCTCCTTTGTTATTTCAATTGAGTGTCATAGGATATATTTCCTGAAATTTACCTCTTTGATGTTCAGTGCTGTTTGTCACACGTGGCAAGGAAACAAGCTGTTATATCTGTCAAATGTAAGTGCAAAACAGTGGACAGAACGTAGCACTGAGACTAGCTTATAATTAGCTTCTATTGAAACAAGAGGGCACTTTTGAGAAAAAGCTTACATGTTGTAGAAATTTTGGAAAAGATTGCAAATGCTGGAATAGTCGATTTCACAGTTGTGTGCTTTGTTGCCAAGCCTTTGAAAAGGTATGAGGCTAAGGGTGATCTTTTTATGATACAAACCTTGCTGCATTTCAAATGTAAATTACTTTGTTATCATCCGATGCAAACTAGATACTGGTCTCTATCACAACATGGTCAGCTTCAGCCTCACTCCAAATCAAAGGCTTGGCAACTAAGTACACAACTGTAACATGGTCCATTACAAGGTTTTTTTTCTAAAGGTTTCTTGAAGGGAGCTGAATAATGCCTGCCTGATACTGACAGACAAATTTAAAGTTGCTGCTTCTTCCATTTTTCCTTTCTCTAACTTTATTTTTATTTTAAGGGTGGAGAGAAATTAAAACCAGGAATATGTCTATTGTGCAGGTTGTCAGTTTCAGGGACAATAAAACAATAATTCATTACCATGAAAATATAAGATTAGGTGCTGGTTTTGAGAGCTTTTGTGGGTTTTGGGTGGTAATGAGATAACTACTATTAATATATATTCCCAGTTTTGAGCAAGTTCCCATAACATTGTTTGTTCACTTTGTACACCAGTTTCAAAGGATTGTCAGTGGTTACTGTAAACTTCATGGCGACACAACAACCATGCACATGTGTCACACTTTTCATGTTAGTTTCCTTGGAAAATGTGTTTATTGTTTTCATGGTTCTGTCTTGCCTAAGTTTCTGTGAATGTTCCCTTTCTGTGCATGAATGTATCAGTTGGTTGATCTGTTCATGCAAAAAAATTATATAAGGTGTGGAAGATTGGTGTCAAGTGAAGATCCTGCAAGTGAGCAATAAGTTAGATGTGACTGCTGTACTGAAAATGTGATGGAAATGTGTTTCCCCCCCTCCCCTCAAATGTTTTTTCTTCTTGGTTTATTTCTAATAAACAAAAATTTAAAAAAAACTGAGGTCATTTTTAGAGCCCTGCCAATGATTGGTACATGTATATACAGATTACACTTAAGGTAACATTCATAAACTGTAACTTCAGTGAACAACAGTGACACTAATCCTTACTTTTTACAAGGAAATGTTTTTTGTTTTCTTTTTACTTTTTTAAAATAAAAGGACAAATTTCCTCTTATTAAGAAGGTAGAATACATATGCTGTTGCGCCGTTATGTAGGAAGCCATTTCAGTGTTCAATTAGTGGAATGAAGTTTTATTTTTGTACAATTAAGCCAAAGCATAATACTTTTAGTTAAAGTTGAATCTTTTTTTTTATTTTTTCAATTTCAAGAAATATTGCCAAGGGCAATCGACAAAATTAAAGAAGAATCAGCACTTGATAATGCCCTCTACGACATAATAGAAGAAAATAGCTAGGGTGATGTGATGAGAGTGATTTCTCAAGTTTAAAATTTTAGAATGGATGTGGCTTTGTTAATAATATAGTCACTGTTCCAGTCATCAAAGATATGATCAAGAAAGTACACCAACAGGTATACAAAACCATAAAATTTAAATTCATGGAGTAATTCAAAATTATAAAATAGATCTAATTCTAGTGCCCTTGATACCACACTAAACCCAACCACGTAGGGTATTGACTCCAATAAGTCCTTACAAAACCTAGCATTCTCGTCCTGCTTATAGTATTTGACATATTGCATAGCCAGGATAAAAGTTACAAAAAACCCCAAGAGACCCAGCAAAGGAAAATCAGCCAAATTCTGCATGGCTCTGTTATAATATGATCCAGCAAACCAATAGTTCAAGATCATTGATCCCCGGACACTTTTCTTCATTGATGACCAGATGCGAGCTGTGAAGTTTTCAGGCCTGTTCAAACTGCAATCCTGTAAATCTGCTTTTTGTGAGACACGTTTTAAACATTCTTCTGTTGTCTGGCATAGATGATGATTCACTGGGTAATGCTTGGCATAGATTTCAAGGGCTTGACGATAGTTATAAGCTGCCTCATGAAGCTCATTGCATTGTTCAAATACCATTCCAAGATTCAGCATCGAGTCACCTAGTTCTGAATTATCACTTTCCAACTTCTCCATCCGAATGTTCCTTGCTTGAAGGTGACAATTTTTGGATTCCTGCAATTCTCCAAGATCCATATACACCTGCCCTAGATTACTCAATACTTCTGCTATCGCGGGATGTTCTTGATCTAACACCCTCTCTCTGATAGATAATGCAGATTTGAAGCAATTCATTGCTTTTTCAAGTTGACCAGCACCCCTGTGCATCAATCCTAGGTTGTTGTAGGATTCAGAGATCACAAAGTGGTTGGGCTGGTACAGTTTCTTCCTCATTTCAAACGCTTCCTCAAG